AAAATATATATATGTACATACAAACAACAACCCACCCGCCATGGAGGATGGTTGGGAGCAGTTGTTGCCCAGGGTGGCAGATTGGGGGTGGTTTGGGTGCCAGGGGGTTTTTTTGGCCTTATTTTGTTGCTGCCCAAGCACCTGGGTCGTGCCGATTGTAAAAGGGAGTCACGGCGGGTTGGGAAAGGGAGCAGAGGGGGGGCAGCTGGGGTTGGTAGCTCTGCTGGGGAGATGCCAAAAAACCAAAACAAAACACGTTTTCATTTTGTCTGCACCAGCCTGGGCGCAGGCGAGCACGGGAGAGAGGGAGGGAGAGGGAGGCGCACGCCAACAGAAAGCTGCCGTGCTCAGACGCGGGCCTGCGGCCACGTCCCTCCGCAGCCGCCCCAGCAGCCGTTCCCGCTCCCTCGTCCCCCTCTCCCTGCCCACCCGGCTTCGCCTGCCAAGTCCGAGTTGGCACGGCTCCCCCGGCTGCGCCGAACAAAGCCGTCACCCATCCCCGAGCCGGAGCTGACAGTAAGCAAAGTGACAGGCGCATCTTCCGCATGTTAATCCAAACGGCAAGGAGGCGAGCGAGCTGCGGAGGCCCCCCCATGCCATGCACACACACCCCCCCTGCCACCGAGCCACCCACCCCACCCTTGGCACCCGACAGCCCCCGTGGCCTCGTGCGGGGATGGCGAGGCCCCCGCCGGCGGGAGCACCGAAGGCTCCTCGTCGGCGAGGCTTAAATCGAGCCGAAGCCCCGCTCGGCGGGCAAACGAGGCCACTCGGCATCTGCTGTACCTGTTCCCGCTGCCTTCATCTCGCCTTGGAACCGTGACAAGAGCGCACTCGCCTCTGGTGGGCTCTCAAAGCCGCGGGTCTGTAACCCTTTGCAGGAAGTTGGCACCGATCCCAGGTAGGACTTTACTCCCCGGCTCTCGCTCTCTCCCCCCACCTCCGCCTCCTGCTCCCTCCCCTCCACTCCCCCACCCATCCTGTCCCTTGGGCCCCTCTTGCGTCCCCCAAAACACCACCCGGCCCCCGTTCCCCCTGCGCTGCTCACCCGCCTCGTTGGCCGGGGGTAGCGTCGGGGGCGGCCGACGGCTGCTGGGCACCCACTGAGCCCTCGTGCCCACCGCCCTTGCTCACATACCCTGGAAGGATGACCTGGGCAAGACAGAGAACAACAACTTCCTGCTCTGGCTCCCTAAAACGCCTGTTTCCACGCAGGGGTTAGGCAGCGCGGTGAGACGGGGGGAGCTGGGAGGAGGTTTGGGGGTTTGTCGTCATTGAACCAGGCTTTTTTTCTTTTCCTCTTTTTTTTTTGGCTTTTTTCTTCTTTTTTTCACCTTTTTTTTAGTCTTTTTTCTATTTTTTCCTGCCTTTTTCCCTTTTTTTTATGCCTTTTTTTTTTTTTGAAACACATATTTTTGCCCTGCAGTCCAAACCCAACGCGAAGGGAAAGGAAGGGAAGAGAAATCAAATGGGAAGAGAATAGCTCCAAGTCGGCAGGACAATGCACGGGAAACGGGGAGATTAGCGTAGCTCTCAAAATCCATCATGCCCGCCCCATTTCTGAACCGTTCGCCCCCGCGCCTCGTCTTTTTTAATTCTCCCAGCTCCTGAATTATTCCAGTCCACGAGCGGGAGGGGAGCGAACAGTCCGGAGTCCCTCAGAGCTGCCAAGAGCATTGCAACAGGAAAGAAAGGAAGCGGGAGAGGGAGAGCCAGGCAGAGCCCTCACAATCGAGCAGCGAGAAGAGCAAGGAAAAATTAACATCCAATTAGTGCCGTGTTTAACGAGGGAGACAGAGGCGGCTGTTGTTTTATTGCCCTGTTCTTTTCAGGCGCATCTGACAGGCAGCAGGGAAGGCACCCCTGCTCTGAGTGACGTCATCATATTTTATTTTTTAATTATTTCCCCCCCCCTCCCCCGTCTTTCCTCCTCTAAGTTTTGCACAGATGATCTCGGCAACTCGGCCAGAGAAATTTGGGACTTTCTCACATTCAAGCCACCGTCTGCCCCCCTCCACCTCCAGCCTCCCCCCATCCACCGACAGCAACCCCGGAAAAACAACAGCGCCAACCCACCCCAAAGTCTTTGTTCTTCCAAAAACAAAAGGAAAAAAAGGAGGGAAGAAAAAAAATCAGCGTTGGGATGAGAGCTGGAGGAGGTTTCTCCGCGTGCGCGTCCGAGTGTGTGCGTGCGGCAGTCGGTCCCTCTCTCATCCCTCTCCCCAGACGCTCGCTCGCCTTGTAAAACTTTGCTGCATGTGACGCTGCTCCGGCCTCCTCTGGCAGCCTGACAAGAGCCGCCCGGCCGCAGAGCGCAGGCGGCTTTTCAGGGAGGGAGCAACTCCATTCTGAGGGATGGGAGCGTTCACATGTCTGCAGCGAGGGGCAACGCCTTGAGCCAGGGCCGCAGCCACAGCAGTGCCCACCCTCGCCATGCCAGCCCGGCCTGGGGTCACAGCACGGGGAGAAGGGACAAGTTTAAAGCTGGGGAGTGTCTTCCCCTCGTGTTTTTCCCCTGGGATGGGGGCACAGCACGTTGTAAGTGCCGAGGGAGGTGTGCAGGGGTCACGGTGGCTGCAGGGAAAGGAGTCTGACCTTGTGCTGACCTTGTGCTGCCACCTCTTCCCCAAAAGACCCAGATCCCCTCAGGGTGGGATGAAACATCACCAGCTTCCCCTGAGAGCACTGCCCAGGAGGGAACAGAGCAGCTCGGTTTAGGGGGATTTGAGGGAGTTTACCCTAAAAAAAAACCCACAGCAGGCAAGCAGGAGCATGGAAAGCAGCTTCCTCACCTCGTTCCCATCCTCTTACCAGCCGTGAGTGATGGACGGGGCTGTCCCTGTCAGCGTGGCAGGTCAGGCTGCTGTGCTGAGCTTTGCTCCTGTGCTCTTTGTGGCCTCTTCTCCTTTTTCCAGACGGGATTTCCCTTATCCAGGGGGGAATCCACGAGGACCTGGCTCTTCTGTAATCCCCTATTTCGAATGAAGGCCATCCCAGGGGATGGGGCTGTGTGAAGACAGGGACAGGGACAGGTCCAGGGCCACCACGCTGCTGGTCCTGGGTCCAGTCCAAGTCCCCACCCTGAGCATTTCCTGGCACCAGCCAGCCCCACCACCCCAGCAGCAGGATCTCCTCTGTGAGGGTTATTATTTTTTTACATATATATTTTTTTTTAAGGAATTATTTGCCTACGTGGAGCTCGGCGCTGCGGGAGAACAGAGCAAACAGCCTTATCGAGGGCAGCTGTGCCACAGGGCACTTCCTCATGCGTGGCTGCAAGATGGGGCCTTCCATGGCTGCAGGGGAGGGCTGGCAGCCATGCCCTTCCCACTGACCAGACACCAGGGAGACACCAGGCACCATCCAGGCATCGGGAGGGCTCTCTGGGATGTTCCCTCCCGGCTCCACGGCAGGAGAGCGGTGCGGCCAGGAGGGGGTTTGGACTGAACTGAAGGGTCTCCAGCAGGACAGCTCTGCAGGGGAAAGGAGAGGATGGAACATTGGCTCTGAGCTCAGCTGCACTTCCCTGGGCACAAAGGCTCATCTTGCTGCTTTCCAGATCCTGCCAGACTCGAGCATCCATGCCCAGCGGAGACACAGACCAGCCTTGACCTGAGATTCCCTCTCCTGGCTGCTGTCACTGCCTCCCTTCTCCCCCGGGCAGCTGGGAGCAGATGAGGCCAAAGTCCCAGCAAATCTCAGCTCTGCACTGGAGGCTGATAAACGGTGTGGGCACAGAACAGCAGCAATCCCCACCCAGCCTGGCTTTGTGCAGGAGGGAGAGTCAATATTTAAACCAGAGGCTGTTTCCTGGGCAGACAGGAGGACAAACCCCCGGCTCCATCCTGGGCGCCAGACCCAAACCTCCTCCTCCACCCCTTCATTTGTTCTCCCCACCACATGTTCCACCCTGGATCCCCTCTCCTGTGGGAATGGGGCCCCATTCCCTTCACCTGAGCACCAGCTGCAGGGCCAAGCACCAACTAATGGGCAGCAATTTAAGGGAGAGGGATTCCCATCCAGGTTTTGGGTTGTCTCCCTGCCTGCTCCTGGTGCAGACATTTGTCCCTGTTGTCCCTCAAATGAAATTTGTCCTAGGGCCCCTTAAATGAAGGATAGGACAAGAAGAATCAGGGATAGAAAGAGGAGGTGAGGAAATATTCAATCATCCTAAGAATGGCAGCCCCTTGCTTCAAAGTAAGGCAGTGCAGTGAAAGCTTTGAAACCTGGTTTTCATTTAAACTGAGCAAAAACTACAGTCAACTGTTGGGTTTTCAGCCAAGTTTGTGGACCCTGATGAACTGGGCAGAAATTACTGGCAGGATGCATCCACTGGTGCAGCTTTAGGTAAATCCCTTAGGTAAATTCCTTAGGTAAACTGCTCAAAGGACAGGAAATAGCACTTTTCCCTGCAGGGGCTGCATTCAGGCTGTGCAGAGGCTGCAGGAGGTTTGACAGGCATGTGAGCAGCAGAAGGTGGCTTTAATTTGGAGGGCAAAGGTTCCTGAGCAGGTGCTGAGTGACCTGGCAGGTGCAATGCCCTGTGTGGGAGCAGGTCATAAAACAAGGTGGTTAAAGGGAAGGATGGAGCTGTGAGGGGGAAGATGGAATGGCTGAGCCCACCTCACCAGTCTGAGAGCAGCAAAGGGTCTCCATCACCACTTTCCAGAAGACCTCAGGGTCAATTTTAACTCCAAAAACCTAATTCCAAATATATTGCTTCAAGCAGCCAAGCCCTCTGCTGCCTCCACCCTCATTCCAGGTGCACTCATTGCAGTTTGCTCAGCCTAAATATGCTCACTTTCCATGGAGGTGAGGAAAATCAGGGGGAATCTGAGTTTTAAACAACTGGTTTAGCCCCTGATTTGTAGAGAAGACCAGAGGAAGTGCCTGTCTTAAACAGAAACTTTCCCTGAGGGAGCACATTTTACAGGGGGAAAAAAAAATCACACAAAAAAAAAATCACAGAAAAATCCCCAAAAAACCAAACCACCCAATAGTTGTTTTATAACTGTATTTTGGAGCATAATTAAATCCTCTTTGAAATCATCTCTGGTGTTAGGGAAGAGGTCCATGCATTATTTAACTGTAACACAAACAGGGAGCGAGGGAGGACAGACAGGACCGACTTCACAACACTGAAGGGAGCTGGGTGGGGGCTGCCACTCCCAGCACACAGCAGCACTGTCCTACAACCTTGCACACACCCAGCACTGTCCTACAACCTTGCACACACATCAGCACTGTCCTGCAACCCTGCACACACAGCAGCACTGTCCTACAACCTTGCACACACCCAGCACTGTCCTACAACCTTGCACACACAGCAGCACTGTCCTGCAACCCTGCACACACAGCAGCACTGTCCTGCAATCCTGCACACACACCAGCACTGTCCTGCAATCCTGCATACACACCCAGCACTGTCCTGCAACCCTGCACACACACCAGCACTGTCCTGCAACCCTGCACACACCCAGCACTGTCCTGCAATCCTGCACACACAGCAGCACTGTCCTGCAACCCTGCACACACCCAGCACTGTCCTGCAACCCTGCACACACACCAGCACTGTCCTGCAACCCTGCACACACAGCAGCACTGTCCTGCAACCCTGCACACACCCAGCACTGTCCTACAACCCTGCACACACACAGCACTGTCCTGCAACCCTGCACACACAGCAGCACTGTCCTGCAACCCTGCACACACACCAGCACTGTCCTGCAATCCTGCACACACAGCAGCACTGTCCTGCAACCCTGCACACACAGCAGCACTGTCCTGCAACCCTGCACACACACCAGCACTGTCCTGCAATCCTGCACACACAGCAGCACTGTCCTGCAACCCTGCACACACAGCAGCACTGTCCTGCAACCCTGCACACACACCAGCACTGTCCTGCAACCCTGCCTGGGGTGTGCATCAACCCTGCCTGCTGGAGAAAAGCCCCCTGTGATGGCAGGACCCCAGAGGAGCAGGATGAGATGTGACCCCACGTGGGAACCTGCTCAAGCAATGCTAAACCTCTTCCCAGGGAGGGCAGCATCACCTCTGTGCAAAAGACTGCTTTGTGGGGAACCGAAATGGGGAAAATCTGCCTGGCTGCCATCACAGCACAGACTGGTGCAAAGAAAGTCTTGTCTGGGGAGCTGAGCATCAATCCTGCCCTGGTGAGCTCTGCTACACACAGAGCCATGCTCCACTGACACCAGGAGCCTTCAATTCTGATGCCTCAGCAGCTTCTGGCCAGCTCAAGGTGCATCCCTTCATTGCAGACAGCCCTGGATGGCTGCCCCTGCTGCAGGAGAGCCCTTTGTGAGCAGCTCTCAGTTCCCAGCAGCTCCATTTCCACCAGCAACAGGAGCAGGACCTGCTGGCTGGGAGATGCCCCTGGGTGCAGCCAGGCCAATCCAACCCAGCACCCACCTCCCTCAGGGTGTGTGCAGGCTGCCTGCCCAGCCCACAGCTCTGCTGGGTGTCCCTAAACACAGCCCATTCCATTCCATGAGTGTATCCTGTGTGCAGGCTGCCTGCTCAGCCCACAGCTCTGCTGGGTGTCCCTAAACACAGCCCATTCCATTCCATGAGTGTATCTTCTGTGCAGGCTGCCTGCTCAGCCCACAGCTCTGCTGGCTGTACCTAAACACAGCCCATTCCATGAGTGAAATCCTGCCCAAAGCAGCACCACTGGCAGCACATGTCCCATCCCAAGGGCTCTCTCCTTGTCCACATCCCATCACTGCCCTGAGCTGGGCTGGACCTGTCTCTTTGGGACTCTGCTGTTCTTTGCAGTGGGATCTGTTTCCCTTCCCTATTTTGATCCTATAATTTCCTTTTCATGCCCGTGGGAGGTGGGATGTTCCTGGGTGATCAGGTACCCTCAAACCTTGAATATGGATGCCAGGTTGATCTTGCCCAGGATGAGCTACCTGCCAGGCCACGGTGCTCTCTCCAGAAAGGATGAGGCAGGAGCTGTCACCTGGCATAACCTTCCCAGGGAGGTGACCTTGGATCTCCTGCTGCTTATCAGCTCAGGCAGAACAAAGCAGTCTTTTGTCCCTGCAGCCCATGGCTGGCTCCTTTAGTACCTGGGCATTTTCTGGATTCCTGGACTTCCCCAGCAACTCCAGAGCTACAGCCTGGACTAAAGAGACAACAGCTTTCTGCTCTCTCTGCTATACATCCCAGTTGAGACAGCCACGAGGATGGAGCTTTGGTGCAGCTGGAGCCTGAGCCAGATGTCCAGAAGTCTGTTCCTGGCCTTGCTGGAGAGGAGGTGTCAGTTCTGGCACCATGGACTTTGGATCAGAAAATAGAAATATACAGATATCGAAACAAGCTTGGGGTTTCTTGAGGAGTCCAGGCTGATGAGCTGTCCCTGCCGAGGCGTCAGTCCATGGGGAAAGAGGCTGGGACGGGCGCCCTGCGGAACAGGAGGCTGGAGCCACGGAACAGCTGCCCCTGAGGAGGAGAGCCCGGGGTCAGGGCAGCCTCAGACCTGCCCAGGGAGCTGCAGCTGCTTCAGCAGAGCCCCACTCCATGCCCATGGCAGGGCTGCAAGGCTGGGCAAAGTGAGGTTCCAGCCCTGTGGGTGCTGAGGTGAGCATTTCCCCCAGGGGTGATGGATGCAGAGGGGCACAGACTCTGCTGTGTGAAATGCACGGGATAGAAACTCACAGGCTGCAAGCTTGGGGTGTGCAAGGGGCACAGCAGCACTGCCAGGCTGGTACCAGTGCCAACTCTGGAGGGACAGAAGCAGGTTACAGAGCATGGCAAGGATGCAGCACTGCCAGGGTGGTACCAGTGGCACAGCTGGAGGGACAGAAGCAGGCTACAGAGCACAGCAAGGATGCAGCACTGCCAGGGTGGTACCAATGCCACAACTGGAGGGACAGAAGCAAGTTATAGAGCATGGCAAGGATGCAGCACTGCCAGGGTGGTACCAGTGCCAACTCTGGAGGGACAGAAGCAGGTTACAGACCACAGGATGCAGCACAGCAGCACTGCCAGGCTGGTACCAGTGCCAGAACCAGAGGGACAGAAGCACAGCACAGCAAGGATGCAGCACAGCAGCACTGCCAGGCTGGTACCAGTGCCAACTCTGGAGGGACAGAAGCAGGTTACAGAGCACAGCAAGGATGCAGCTCAGGCACTTTTGGGGAACGCTGGAGACTTGGGAAAGGAGCAGAGGGAGCCCAAAGCCCCGTGTGTGCCCTGCTCCCTCACCTGAGCACTGAGGTACCTCCAGCAGTGGATCCAGGATGCAAAGGCAGGAGCGTAGGGAGGGAGGCCGGCGCGCAACCTGCACGGCAACAGGGAACAGCTGAGGTGGATGTGTCACCTTACCCGCACAGGTAACAAAAGAGCAGCAGGAGGTGTGAACGAGGACACGGGGACAGTGTCCACACCGGGCTGGCAGCCAAGTGACAGCTCGTTATTTACAATGCAGCAGATCTGTAATTTAATTACCCCTGGAGTGCACAAACAAGGAGCATTACCTGGAGACTTTGAGAGTCCAGGACCGTATCTACACCTTCAAAAGCCAGCAGATACTGAGAAAACACGGCACCAGACTTGGATCCCGTTCCCACGAGCAAAAAAAAATTGCAGAAAACTTGCAGCAGTGCGATTGGGAAGGCAAGCTTGGTCCTGCTCCTGTCTGCTGCCATAAGAGCTCTGCTTCCCTCGTGCTGCTCCCTGGAGCCAGCACTGTCCCTTTGATCCCTGGGCTCCAGCTCAGCTCAGACCACCACAACTCTCCCGATTTCTCACCACCTGAGCTTTTCTGCTGCGCGTGTCTGTGCCCTCTGATCTAAAATTATAAGCAACTTGGGAGAGGAAACGAGCCAGCTCTGCGAGGTGCCACAGAGTTTACGGGGCTGGAGGAAAGCTTTACGGTCGTTAGCAGCCCATTCAGACAACAAGGGGCTGCAAGAAAGGAAAAGAAAAGCTTTAGATCTCGGTGTGAAGGACATACCCACAGTTGTTCACTGCCATGAGATCTCCCACGAGAAGGAACGGGTAGGTCAGCATGCTCACAGCGATCTGAAAGCACAGAAAACCAGCAGCCTCTCTAAAGCTCCCCTTGTCAGAAACGCTATTTCCAGCTTTTGCATGTTAGCCGAGTTATCCTTGGACAAGGGATGTCATGTACAGAGCAGCCTGTGTCCCCAGGGCACAAGCTCTGAGCCCAGAGGGGGCAGGAGGAGGGGAAAGGACACAGCAGCTCCTACATACCCCCATCACAAACTTGGTGTAGCTCCGGATCACCGAGGCCTGGCTGAACTGCAGAGAGAAACCAAAGGCGTTGTGGGGCAGGGGATGACACCAGGCTGGCACTGTCACCGTGTGACACCCCCTGAGCCTGAGGTGAGGAGCAGGGGAGGAGGCAGAAAGCAACAGAGAGCAGCTGCATTCCAGCTGAGAGTCTGGGAAGGCATTTGGGGAACTGTGATCACCCAAAGGTGAAGCACAGCCCTGAGCACACACGGAGCCCCCAGCACTCAGGGATGTCCCCAAAGCCTGGGGTCTGTATTAAATCAGCCCCTGCTCCCCAGGAATCCCTCCCCACCGCAGGTGCTTGCTCCAGACCCCAAGCCCTCCCTCAGGCACTTCACTCACGTTGTCGTCCACAGCGTAGGTGTTGATGAAGTGAGCCAGGAGGTTGCAGCACCAGAGGAAGATGACATCCCCCAGGACGTGAGGGACTAACCCACTGCAAGGGCAAAAAGAGGGTGTGAGGTGCAGGAGGGTCCCAGTGGCACCTCCTGAGACTCCCAGCCCTCCTTCCCTCCACCAGCTCAGAGGAACTCCACTCCCCCAAAATGGAATTTTTACTTTGGGAGGAACTGAAAAGGGAGATTTCAGGGAAGAGCTCTCTCAGCCTTCAAACTTGGTACTACATGTGCTGCTCTGGCTGGAAAGTTTTTGGGATGTTTTTTGGGCATGATTCAATTCCCCTTGTTCTATCCCAAATCCCTTCTTGGCCCAGCTCCTGCTGAGAAACCCAAGTGAGACACAGATGAAATGGTTTCCATTTCTGAAGATGCTCTTTTGGATGCACAATGAGAAGTTCATCTCTTTGTGGAATCTCCCTTCTTTTAGAAATCAAAATGAGAGGGGTTATTCCTGCACAACCTGCTGCACTGAGAAATGGGAATAACTGGGGGAACACTGATTTTCCCCAGTCCCTGCTGCCCCCAGGAGCAGAGTTCTTTGGTTGATGCCTCCCACTGACACACTGGAGTTCCCAGCAGCACCAGCACTGCCAGCTTTTGCAGATAACAGCACTAAAACTTTAACAAAATATTCCAGAGGGTTTCTCCATTTTCTCTGCTGCAGCAGGGCAGGGTTTCCTGCTTTTGCAGGGGTTGTGCCACTGCAAAAGGATCCAGGTGTGTGTCAAACGTGTGTTTCACCAGCAGATGTGGTCAGCTCTGAAAAGGAGCCCGTCAAGAGCCACAGGAGTGTTTGCTGAGCTGCAAAGAGCCCCCTCCAGGCACGTTAATCTGAGTCTTTTGTTTCTTCCCAAACACCACCATGCTGCCTCCTCAGAGCAAAGGGCCAGTTTGTTTCCTGCTGTGGTTGCTGCAGCAGCAAAGCAGCAACGGGGACTGGTTTTGGGAACAACCTGAGCATTGTTAATGCCTCAGCAGCCCCGGGGATGCAGCTGAGGTCTCAGGGGCCAGGCACAGCAGAAACCTTCAGCAGAAAATTCACTGGCTTCAAAGATGTGATACATGAGAGCAGCAGACAGGACAAAGAAATCAAAGCTCTCTGGCCCCAAAGAGATGTTCTGCTTTGTGTTTGGCTTTCAGCCTTTGTAAAAAATCCATCCTTTCTCTAACTCAAAGTTAAGTCTGAAGCTCCTGAGCTGCTGCAGATACAACAGAGCCTAATAAATTCCAGAAGCAAAGGGCTGGGCCAGGACAGCCCCAGAAGGAAAACCTCACCCAACTGTTGAAAGGGAGTCAAACTGTTTATTCCACTTCCAATAAGGATCCCATCCCTTTCTCCCCTCCAAAGTAATGACAGCTGCTGGCCCTGAGCTGATGACTGGAAACCAGGGGTCTGAGAGCTGCAGAAAATAACTAAAAAAAAGCCAACAAGCCAAAGGCATCAGGCCTGAAAACCCCTCCTGGAATTCCAGCACTGCCTTTACTACTATTGACATAAAAAAGTGAGTGCTGCAATGCTCACACCTGCTGAGATGTCCAAGATCTGAACTGGGAATATCTTTGGAAGATGATGAAAAGCTTGAACAGCAGCAGGCAGAGGAGGAAGCCTGAATGATGTACAGCAATGTGACCCAACAGCAAAAACCCCAGTGCAAGGGACCTGGGATAAGCCAAGTTTGAACCGACCATGCCCAGCAGCTCTGGAGCTCAGGGAACACCTCCCTGGGCTGGCAGGAGCCTGTTGCAGATATGAGGGGAAGGGAGATAAACCCATCCTTGCAAAGCCTTTATCTCTAGCCAGGCACACACCCAGAGAGTGAGAGAGAGACTCAGAGAGTGTGTGCCACTGTTATAAGGCCATGAGAAACAAGTGCACTGCCATGATTGCAGGGCAGTGGATGTGCTGGGATTGCACCAGGGCTGCAAGGAGAAAATCAGCAGTTTGGCCCTTCAGATGCAGTCTGTGCTCCCCTCACAGCAGTGGGATTTCCTAACAGGGTTGTAGAGCATGTAGAACTCCAGAGTCCTCCTGAGACAATTTGGGTTGTGTTAAAGCCTTTCCTGAGAACCATTAAGTTCCATTAGGCCACCAGCAGTGTTTATTTCATGTGGATGGAAGGGAATGTGGTGGCTTCTTTCAGATCACTTCCCTGGGAGGTGGAGGGTTGTGAGCAGCCTGCTCCAGCCATGCCCCACTCACAGGGACCATCCTGGATTTAGTGGAGCAGATCTGGAGCTGCACAGCTCAGCTGAGCAGCTGTGGGCTGCCATAGGAAGAAGCAGTGACCCTCAATGGGTGGAGATCCCTGGCCATTTCCCCTTGGGAAAGGACAGGGTGAGACCCCCTGTGATTTTTTCCCTCTTCCTGATGCATTCACGTTTCATCTGGAGGCCCATATTTTGTGAGTGCAGAGCCAAAGGCATCCTGGAAACCCCTACTGAAATTCCAGAGCTGCCTTTACTATTATTGACATAATAAATTGAGTTATCTCCCCACCACGAGCAGACACAGCAGGTGGTTCTGCTTTTATGTAGACGTGAAAAAGAAAGGCAGGAAGCATTAATTAAGGGTTCAAGCAAAAAGGTGTCCACTAAACTTCCATTTCAGTGATGCACCAATTTGCCACGCTCTGAAAGCAGCTGGAAACACCTTTCAGCTCCTCCTGTCCAGGCACCACCACACTGCAGCCACACAGGTAAACCTGCTCATTACAAGCACCCACGGTGCTCTGCAGAGCAATTTGCTGCTTATCCAGGCCCGGTCTTTCATTTCAACAAGGGAACTTACTGTTGCACTTGATCTTGGTGCCTGTTGCACAAACAGTGCTTTAAATGGCCCTTCACTGAAACACAAAGAAGCACCAAGGGAAAAAGAAAGATAAGAAAAAACACAGCTTGCTCTGGGCTCTGAAGGTTTGATTGAAGATAAGATCTGGGGCAAACTTAATGGTCAACCTGGAGTGCTGTCAAAGGCACAGATTTAACTGTGGGAGTCCCTTAGTCAGACAAGGTTTCAGCTCAGTGTGACTCCAGGTGGGGGTGGCAGAGCTGCCAGCAGAGCCATCAGTGCCTTCAGGCTATGGGAGAAAGTATTTAAACAACAATTCACTTACACAAAGAATCCCAGGATCCCTTCTTCCTTAAATATCCTGCCAATGGCACTGAACACACCGCTGCCAAGAAAGGAAAAGAGCTGTGAGTGTGCAGAGTTGTTCCACCTCGGCCCTGTGCAGCTTCACATGCATCCTGCAGCCCTCAACCATCATTCCAGCAGCTCGTTCTGCCTGTTCTCCTCACACCAGGCAGCTTTCAGGGAGGGAAGGTCGTGTCTGTCACTCTGCCAGTCTGCAGTGACACCAGCAGAACACCCAAGCTGCACACAACTGTTCAGTGCTGAAGGCACAGGAGCTCTGTGAGGCTTTGTGAGTGGGTACAGATGTTGTGTGACATGGTTTGATTTGGATGATTCTAATCCCAAGAACCCTGTCCTGCCTTTGGGAACTCGAGCTGGCTGCTGTGGGCTGGCTGCAATCCTGTCTAGCGTGCCTCCACATTGCTCCACAGGCAGTTCTGCCCTGCAGAGAGGCAGCTGGTACTGCAAAAGGCCTGGAAAAATTTTACAGACTAAGCAGGGCTGCAGCAAAGCTTTGTGTTATCCACTCTGCCTCCCTGCTGCCTTCCCTTTCCATTAATAGGCAAAGGAAAAAGGCAGGAGACTCAGCAAGGGGTGATATAGCCCCAAAGAGGCACAAGATGAGTGTGTGGCACATCAGGGACAGAGCCCAGCCTTCCACAAACCTTCAAGCCCCAGTCACCCACTCTCTAAGCACAGCTCAGATTCACTTTTCAGTCTCTCAAGCCTCCTGAATAACCCTATTCCCATGGCATGGGAGCCAGCATTAGGCCACCAGCAGTGCTTATTCCATGTGGATGGAAGGGAATGTGGTGGCTTCTTCCAGATCACTTCCCTGGGTTGTGAGCAGCCTGCTCCACTCACAGCCATGCCCCACTCACAGGGACCATCCCAGAGCATCCTATATTTGATCTGGGGTCAGTACCTGGCATTCCAGAGCCTCCCAAGGTGCAGCCACTCACCTGTATTTGACTTCCCGGCCCACGAACTGGACCATGCAGCGCATGGAGATCACTGGGAGGAAAGAAACACAGGGCTGATAGACAAACAAATCCACTTTGGGTTGTACTGGATGTCAAGGGAAATGAAACATGACCCTTCTGCTCTCCCTCAACTCACAGCATCTCCAGCTCCTCTCAGTGGTCATCAGCACTGCAAGACTCATTAGAAACTGGGGCCTTTCCTGAGCCTGTAAGTGGTGGGAAGGATTTCAGAGGATCACAGAGAGGTTTGGGTTGGAAGGGATCTGTCAAGCCCCTAACTTTTTCCAAAAGATCTATCTTTTCCCAAACTCCCTGGCATAGGCAGGGACACCTTCCACTCTCCCAGGTTGCTCCAAGCCCTGTCCAGCCTGGCCTTGGACACTTCCAGGCATGGGGCAGCCACAGCTTCTCTGTGCCAAGGCCTCCCCACCCTCACGGAGAAGATTTATTCCCAAAATCCCATCTAACCCAGCTCTCCAGCAGTGGGAAGCCATTCCCTGTGTCCTGTGTCTCCATGCCCTTGTCCAAAGTCCCTCTCCAGCTCTCTTGGAGCACCTTTAGGCACTGGAAAGCTGCTACTGGCCCTAACCCCAATGGGATCTCTAGGACAAGGTCCTGGATGAGTGGCAAGAGAGAAACTCATTGCTCAGCTGTGTTTTTGCCTGAAGGCAAACCCCAGCATCAGCCTCATAAGACAGAAAGCATCATAAGAACCATCCCCCTGAGTGTGCAGGGTTTGGGGTGATGCCCAGCCTGGAGGGAGCTGCCAGCCAGGGCACAGGACTCACCGTGCAGGGGGTGTGACACAACCCGGGACACACACTGCATCATCATCTCGTGGGATGTCTGGGAAGGGAGGAGAAAACACTGTGAGAAAAGCTGTGTGCTCCCCCTGCTCCCTTTCCCTCACACATTTTGGGTCCCTCTTTTGAGATCTGTTCTTGTGGTGAACCTCTGCTCCTGTGAATTATTTAATGGATTGACACAGAATGGCCACTAAACTGATAGACAAACAAATCCACAAACTTCTCACCACAAACTTTTCACCCCAGTTTCTCTCCAAGTAATCTCACCCACATCCCCAGGGATGTCCCCAGCCCCTCATGAATGGGCAATATCCACTTCTCACCTCTCTGACCACTTTCCTAAGTGAAGTTTTCACATCATCCTTGTTAGACACGTGCTCCATGTCTTCCAGTGGAAAAGCCTGAGTGGAGAGGGAAGCAACGTGCTCAGAACTGATGGAGATGCTGACCCACAATGTCTGAGGATGGGAGAAACTACAAAAAACTGTGCTCTAGACTCTAGATGCAAGGGCAAGACAAACAGGCAAGAAAAAAACACAGGAGAAGAAAGGATGGAAAGTAAAACAGAGGAATAGAGGAGTCACAAAACTGCAGACAGAGGATACAAGGCACAGGGACGCCAAATCAAATTAAAATGGTTTATAAATTAAAAAATGCTTTGAGGATGGATGTATCAGTCCTCCTGTGCAGCTCTTGCCGCAGTAGCACTGCCCCTGCAGGTGATTAATGGAGAGAGGAGCTGACCTTTACCTTCTTCACACTCCCCCTGGTGATGGTTGATAACGTGCTTGAGATGAGGCGAGGGGTGAGGCCACGGAAGAGGCCTCTCTTCCCATCCACTGCCACGATGTGCCTGGCTGGGAGGGACAACACCAGGCTGCTGTCAGCTGGGGAGGGGACATGGAGAGCACCCCAAACACCCCCAGGGCTCAGCTGAAACCACACCAGGATCAGCTCAGCACTCCATGGCCCCACAGTAAGTGATTTATTGTAACAGTCCTGAAGAAACTTCTTACTGGAGGACAAGAATTCTTACTCTCTGTCATCTCCTAATCTGGAAGGACAGCTGCAATATTTTGGGCTATTTTTTGTCTTTTTGATGGTTTTGCTCACCTGAAAGGGCTCCAAGGCCGTTTGGACTGAACCAGGCAGGGGGGATCATCCCATATGCTCTGTGCTGTCACCTCCTCCCTCCACCCCAGGAGGGTTCATACGGATCTCACAAACCCACGTTCAGTTCCTGCTCCACCACCTTCTCCCAGGCAAACTTCCTCAGGTCTCCAGTTGCAAAAAAAGCCCAGAGATCCCATTCCTCCCACATATAACAAGGTGGGATAGAACCCACTGTGTGCTGGTGGCTGCTGACTGCTCCTGTCTCTGTTCTGTGCTGTTCAAACGAAGCCAGGCAGGCTCTGCACCTCTCCATCACCCAACACTGCCCATATCTCTGGAAACTGCATCTTCCAAAGGGCAGCACTGCAGCATTTCCAGCCCTGGGTGTCCCAGGATGGGCTTCCAGGGCTCTCATCCTGCTCCTGTGCTGGTTCCATCCCATGGGCATCACTGGCAGATTTTGGGATTGGCCCAGCTCAGCTGCCAGGACAGTACATTCCCCTTCCCCACAGCAAACCTGCTGTGGCACCAGGTCACAAAGTATTCACCCACCTCTCCCATGCTGCTCCACCCACAAAAGAGGAAACTACTGATTTTCTTTCCTTCTAAATATATTACCTGCCCTTTTCTTGGTATTTCTGTCCCTTTTTAGGGCTCCATCTACAACACAAATGAGCAGGGCAGGGGGCAGGTTATTTCAGGGTTTTAGAGCAGAAGGAAAGTATTTTGCAACCTCCAAAACACACAAAAACCTCCTGCAACAAACCTACAACACCTAAAACCCCCCAAACCCCTCCACCATGGTGCAAACCCAGAGCAATGTGCCACAGGAACACGATGCAGCACCAATATCCCCCTAGCAAGATGTCCATAAATGTGACAGCCTTGCAAGGAGTTGTGGTTGTTTATGCCTCACTGGAGCCTCAGGATGATCCCAAGGGGATGTGGGAGTGCTGCTGGGGTCAGCTCAGGCTGCCTGGCAGCTCCCAGCCCTGATTCCACGAGGGCAGGACCTCGTGCTGGCAGGGAGGGACAGTCACTCACCGTAGGTGAAGAAGCCAGGCAGGTACAGGACCTTCCTCCCCAGCACATTTCTGCCAATGGTTGGAGGTAGTGGCTCATGGCCAACCTGAGAGAGAAAGCTCATGAGCAGGTCTCTGTTCTGGTGCTCCCAAAGTCCCTGGGATGAACAGGATTGATCCCAGCATGCCCCCATCACTCTCAGGCACTCCTTTCCCCTTTTTATGGGATTCCTAGGTTACAGAGGGTCCTCCACCCTCCAATTTTAGGAGCTCCCTGTTACTGAGAGGGTTTTGAGGTTTCCTATCCCTTCTTATATGGGAGGCCCCATGGCAGAGGGGTAATTTTATAGAGGTTCCCAGATTGCTGGGTGTCCCCATTCCCTGTCATAGGAGGGATCCCAATGCCCCACTACAAAGGAGCCCCCACTGTATGGTGTCCCCTATTCCCTATATAGGGTGCCCCTGTTGTAGAAGGCATCCTCACCTTCCTATGACATAGGACCCCATTTTTATATAGGTCCACCAGTGTATAGGGGACCCCATTCCCTTACATATGGGGCACTCCATTACCCACAGGTCCCTCATTCTGTAAGTGCTCAGGGGGTCCCTTATGACGGGAGGGGCTGCATGCACAGTGACCCCCAGGGCATGGAGTCCTCTATAGGGGCATGAACCAGGAATCCACTCCCACCTGTGACAGTGGGGTCTCGATCCCCCATCCCACACAGGGGTCCCCCATTCTATAGGTGCCCCCCATTCTGTAGACACCCCCATTGCACAGGGGGTCCCACTGTAACAGGGGGCTGCACATACTGTGTATATAACCCTAGCACATGGGGGTTTCCATGGGGGCACTGCTGGAATCCAGTACCCCTATGGAAATCCAATATATCTCCTCCCGTTATACCGGGGTCCCGATCCCCCATTACCCACAGGGACCCCATCCCATCAATTACACCGGGGTCCCGATGCCCCGTTACCCACACGGACCCCATCCCAATTAATTACACGGAGGTTCCCCCTTCTGTAGGTATCCCCCGTCCTATAGGTGCCCCCACTGCACAGGGGGCCCCGTTATACCGGGCAGGGCTGCACAAACAGTGACCCTCCTCAGCGCACGGAGGCCTCTATGGGAGCACTATCCACAAATCCCCCCGTTATCCCGGAGTCACTCCTCCCGTTACACACGGGACTCCCACCGCACCGTCCCCCCCTCAAAGCGGACCTGCACAAGCAGCTTGACGTAGAGCAGGGGGTGGCTGGCGGCGGCGAGCCCCGCGCCCAGCAGCACGAACAGGCCCTCGGCGCCCTCAGGCCCCGCCGCGTCCGCCGCGCCCCCGCCAGGCGGCGACAGCGGCCCCGGGGGCAGCGCCGCCATGGCCGCCATGGCTCGCGCGTCACCGGCCGCCACCACCGCGCCGCGGGCCGGGGGGGAAACCGCGGAACCATTGAGGGGCGGGAGGAACCACTGAGGGGCGGGGGGAGCCCGGCGTAAGGGGAGGCCATGGCGGCGGCGGGGGGAGAGGGGCGGGAGGGGCAGCGGAAAATGGAGAAGGGGTTTAGGGACTGGGGAGTTGGGTGTGAGTGACTGACGGGGATTGTGAGCACACGGGAGAGGGGCTGGGGAAAGGGGAGAGAGAAAAGATAAATCGAGTTAAAGAGGGAGGGAAGGGGAGGGGAGGGGAGGGGAGGGGAGGGGAAGGGAAGGGAAGGGAAGGGAAGGGGAGAGGAGGGGAGGGGAGGGGAGAGGAGAGGAGAAGGAAAATTTAAAAAGACCCAAAAAATACCAGGAAAGGAAAAGAGAAAAAAAGGAAAGCAGATCTCCAGTGCTGGTTCCGTCACTGGTCTGCCTGACCCTCCTGGGCACAAGCTCTGGGATGGGTTTCTCACTTGCCGTGCACATTGGATCTCATACACAGTGCACTGCCTTAGACCTTTCTGGAAAAGTATTGCCCTATGTCCACATGGTCCCTTCTCCAGCCACATCTTGTTCTGTCTCACGGTTATCACCGACAATCCTCGTCTGTTGTTACCAGCAGTCCTTGGCTGGCCCCACAGCCATGCAGCTCTGGGTGTTTGGGGCAGACACACCAGCCCTGGCTGGGCACCAGGGACCTGCCAGCCCACTCCAGCCATCCAGACTGTCCAGACTCCCACCCTGGTGGGACACTCAGAACAAGGAAATTCCTCTGGCTGCCCTGGAGGACTCCATCCCCTGTCCTGGGGGCTCAGAGAGCTTGGCACATAGCCCAAGACCCCCATGCCTTTGATTTAGCCCTTAGAAAAAACAACTACCAACCTTATTTACAAGCCACAAAAGTTTAAGTAGAATGATAGTGAATTTATCACAGGGTGAAATATAGATTTTTTGGGGTTTTTAGAATGGGGGTTCAGGGGGCAAGATGGAGGAATCTGGGCATGTCCAGCCTTTCTCCTCCTTCTTCTTCTTGGCCTCCATCTTCTGCTGTGATGTTGGCACTTTTAGATTGGTTTAAGGTAGAAGCTCACTGTCTAACACAGGTGATAGGTATTGGGAAGTAATTGTAAATACTGTACATGTGTTTTGTATAAAAAGATAACACTGCCCTGAGGGCAGGCAGAGTGCCTCTATCTGTCCTGCTGAGCACACCTTGGCTGGACAGGAGAAAGAATTTTATAGATAAGATACAATAAACAACCTTGAGACTGAGAAATGAAGAGTTCCGACTCCTTCTTTGAGCGCTGGGCTGGGAAAAGAGATTTTCTAACGTATCTCAGGGTCACTGTGAGCAGCTAGAGACCCCAAGAGGACACAGCCCACCCTACCTGAGGTGTCCCAGGTCACCCCTGCCCTGCACCATCCCTGCTGCTGCTCTGCCCTTGGCTGTGCCACACTTGGGTCCCTCCCAAAGTGAAGCCATTCCCAGTGTTTTCTCAGCATTTCTCCTGCCCACAAAGTGCTCTGGTTCCTCTTTCCCTTCCCTTTTGAGGCCAGCCCAGTGACAAGCTCTGCTGCCACAGAGAGGGCAGCGGGTGGGCTTTGCCTCGTGCAAATCCTCGCTCCCAAACTGCAGCCAGAAGCACTTCAGAGCAGAGAGGGGGACAGAGGAAGGAGCTGCAGCTCCTGGACACCCTGGAGCTGCTCCCAGCCCTGCCATGGAGGGAAAAGCAGATTATCAGCAGAGTGTGGTGAAGCTGGTGGCTGCATTTGAAGAGCACTGGTAAGGCAGGAGGGCTCTGGGTGCTCAGGGTGTGTTAGGGCTCCACGTGGAGTGGGTTTGGGAAGGAAGAAACCCACTGTGGAGGTGGTTTGGAGCCTGTGGAGAAGCTGACAAGGTGATTTTGGAGAAGCTGGCAAGGTGATTTGCAACCCTTCACAACTCAGGTCTGCCCCAGTGTCTTCCTCCTGCTGCGGGTCATGGGCAGAATCTGAAAACCTCAGTGGGGTGTGAGTGGTTGTGCCTGGCTCAGGGTTAGGCTGTGGCAGCCCGTTCCCCCACAGCCAGCATCTTCACACTCAGGCTGGTGCATCCTGCTGCTGCTGGGGAAAGGAATTGTGGTTTGGAAATTGTCCCTCTGGGCAGGGGTTGTCACTGGGAATGGACTGCCTGGGTGTCTGGGAGGGTCCCAGCCTCAGACTGTCCAGCTGGTTGCAGAGATGTGGCTCCTAGGAAAGGAAACAGAAAGCATTATGGTAAGGGAGAGAGAGAATTCCTTTCATAAAGCAGCTCCTTTCTTTGGAGTGTGAGCTGGGACCCTCAGACAACGTGTGCTGGGTCTGAGTGAGGGGATCTGCCCTGACTCTGGTGTAAAAGTAATTCTGAGGTTTCAGGTGAATTATTTCTCACTTTCTCCATCTGATGGATCAAGATATAGAATCCTGCCATTCCTTGTACCCATGAGATGCTCTCAGTGAGCCTTGGAGGGTTGAGTGGTTGGGCAGGTGAGTTTTGCAGCCATTCCTGAAGATGCTCAGGCACAAGATTTCCTTTCATTCCAGGAACTCCTGCATCTCTGCTGTGTGCTGTCCCCAGGCTTTGTGGTTGTCCCCATCATCCCCCAGTGATGTTGTGTTGGAACCACTGCAGTGTTTCATCTGCCCCCATGTCACTGCTGCAGTGTGTTTGTTGTTTGCCTTTGATTTAGAGGAAATAAAAGTAACTCAATACTTTCAGAGGAAGCTGGGGAACCTGGGAATGAGCAGACAATGGTTTGGCCTAAATCAGCATAAATAGAAAGAGAGAAGTTCCCTGTTGGGACGCAGCTGTGGCTTTAGGCTGACACAGGTTTGGGAGGCACCAGGAGAGATGGAAAAGCTTCTGAAGGGTTCTGCCCTGGACAGGAGGGGATTTGTGCATGGCTGTGGATGCACTCCTGAGCTCACAGACATCCTGAGCGTGGGATGGAGCTGACATCCTCTTCAGATGAGTCTCTGCCCCTCAAGTCACCTCCTATCCTCAGCTTTGCAGTTTGATGTCCAAATTCTTCATGTCTTTCCCATCCCATCCCATCCCATCCCATCCCATCCCATCCCATCCCATCCCATCCCATCCCATCCCACTCCTGCCTGCAGGCCAGCAGTGGATGTCTTTCCAGTTCTGCCCAGAGCAGTTTCCTGCAGTGACCAGCTCTTGGATGACAGACAAGTCACCTGCTGTCACCTTCACAGCCTGGCTTCTCCCTCATGCCCGCTCTGGACCTGCTTTCTTTGTCTTTGCCAGAAAAGGGAAGAGAGAGCACCACCAAAAACAACCTGTCTGCAAAACCTCCCACACTTGGCTCCAAACTCTTGGCTATTGGGCTGCTCCCTGCTTTTCTCCATGGTGGCAGCAGGCAGAAATCCAGAGCTGTGGGTGGGATAAACAGCAGGATCCTGCTTTTCTAGAGCAGGAGAGAGACTGGGCACATCAGCAGGGGGCTCTGGGAGAAGAGAAACTGGATCCTGACCATGGAGGATGCTGAGGATGTTTGTACTGCAGGGCAGTGACAGCGCTGGGCAGCTGCTGCTCTTGTCCCTTTTGGTGGCTTTGAGGTGGGTCTGGGGGACTGCGCACAGCAGCAGGGAGCTCTGGGAGAAGAGAAGCTGGATCCTGACCCTATGGAGGATGCTGAGGATGTTTGCACTGCAGGGCAGTGACAGCGCTGGGCAGCTGCTGCTCTTGTCCCTTTTGGTGGCTTTGAGCTGGGCTGTGCTGGGGGAATGGCTGAGCTGATCCCGTTCCTTTGCAGCAGGGACAGCACATCTGCCCAGAGGGACAAGCCAGCAGGCAGGCAGCTTCCAGCATTCCCTGCCAGCCAGAGCCACTCCCTGACCAGGAAAGAGGATGAGGAGGAGAAGGGGCAGCAAGGCCAGCGTGGACTCAGCTTCAAATGCCTCCGTTCTCTGCGCTCCAAAATCCGTGAGGATGACTGGAGGAGGCCACAGGGCCCAGGCCTGGAGCCTGGCAGCCAGGTGAGCTCCAGAGCTGCGGGGGTGGGTGCCCACACTCAGGGCTGGCTCAGGGTCTCATCTCTGCCCATGAGGCTGAGCCCTGCTCTCCCTGCAGGAACCAGAGGAGAAGAAAATCGCCCTGGAGCTGCTGGAGACAGAGCAGGCTTATGTCAACCGCCTGCACCTCCTGGACCAGGTGAACTGGGGAGTGGAGGGACCAGTGCAAGGGGGTTTTGGAGGGATTGAAGCTGTAAAAATGAGAAACACGTGGGCTGCTGGTCTTTAGAGGCAGAGATTGGGTCTGGCATTTGCCTTTTCTACACCACACACCTGTGGGAAGCACCTTTGTCCCAGCAAAGCCTTCCATCCTCCCTCTCCTCTTGGAGTTGGGATTTTCCTCCTGCACACACCTTTCACTGGGTGATGTGCCAGTCCCAGAGAGGGAATGGGATCCTCAAGCATCTCCCTGGCCCTTTTTGTTCACCCTTCTTTCTTCCAGGTATTCTATACAGAGCTGATGAAAGAAGCCAAAACTGGGAAGACGGTGCCAGAGGAGGTGGTGAAGATGATCTTTTCCAACATCTCCTCCATCTACCAGTTCCATGCTGAGTTCTTCCTGCCAGAGCTGCAGAAGCGCATGGAGGATTGGTGAGCCTCAGGAGGGGATGGGAGGGCAGCACACCTGGGTGGTTTGGCCACAATGGGGGAGCAGCACTGAGTTCAGGCTCCCACCAAGACCAGAGCTCAGCCTGTCACAGACATCTTTTATGAAAAATCCTTTCCTTAAGATTTTTTCTCCTGAGAAGATGAGAGGCCTCAGGAACAAAATGTAAACAATGGTTATCTGCTGCTGTGGGATGCAACAGGTGCATCTGTGATTGGTCTCATGTGGTTGTTTGTAATTAATGGCCAATCACAGTCAGCTGGCTCGGACAGAGAGCCCGAGACACAAGCCTTTGTTATCATTCCTTGTTTTT